TATGGCAGCAAGGCATTAGATATGTTCTCTGATATGTGTGAGGCCCGAATCCCGCTTGATGAGGTATCATTTGTTGGGGTTTTGTCTGCGTGCAGCCATGCAGGTTTAGTGAGAGAAGGTCGTGAGTTCTTGAGACAAATGAAGTCAAAGTATGGCATGGCTCCAACCATTGAGCATTATACCTGCGTGGTTGACATGCTTGGTCGAGCGGGGCATCTGCAGGAGGCTTATGAATTGGTGCTAGAAATGCCTATTGAGACCAATCCTGTGTTGTGGAGGGCACTACTAGCAGCATGTAGACTCCACGGGAATCAGGATCTCGCAGAGGTTGCTGCACTGAAGGTGAATGAACTTGATCCGGGACACTGTGGTAATTACGTGTTGATGTCAAATATTTATGTAGAGAATGGTCGATACGAGGAGGTATCAGAAGTTAGACACACAATGAGGCAACAGAATGTGAAGAAGACACCAGGCTGTAGCTGGATTGAGCTGAAGAATGGTGTGCATGCTTTTATAACTGGAGATAGAGCCCATCCTAAAGCAAACTTTATTTATGCTGAATTGGACTCATTGACTGCTCGGCTTCGTGAACATGGATATGTGCCTCATTTCTAGAACTTGATTTCTACTGAAGTTCAGTTTAATAGCAAATGTTTTTATTTTCCATTTTCAATGCTCTCTCATCTGGAATTGCTGAATGCTACTGGAAACTAGAAGTCAAATACGAAATGGCTTGTGACTGTTTTGGTTTTGGATGATTTTTTTAAGCAATGTTCGAAGAAATCTGCAGCTGCATCTCAAGGACTTGACAAGCAAGTCTTCGAACATATGCATAGCAAGAAAATTTCCAGCCATGATTTGAAACACTGAAATATCAACAAGATATTGACACTCAAACTCGAGAAAAATAACTGGAATTTGTTTATTTAATTAATTATCTATAAATTAACAAGCAATCCTTTGTTTTCAAGTTTTTAATCAATGGTTCTTTTTGTTTTTTATAATACAAGCAATAGTCTAAATTACAAGGACATACGATTTTTCACACACGCTATCAAGGTACCATAGAGGTTCAAATCTGAAACTATTAGATCTTCAAGACAAAAGCACTTTTCCACTGTACTAAACCTTTGGTACTTAAAGATGGGGCAGTTACTATTCACGTAAATTGCTAGAGTAGTCACTATTCACGTACATAATGTTTGTCTTGTCATTTGCCATGGCACAATGAAGTGAAAGTGCTATTAGAGACATACAGATTTTCAATTTTTTCTCCAAATTTGTTTATTAAAAATTTTAATAAAAATTTTTTGAAAAAAAATTTTAAAATTTAAAATAAAAATAAAAACCCGACCCGCCTAGGCCGATTTTTCGAACACAGGTATGTCTTATTTCGATAGACACCAACAAAAGTTGTACTTTCTACTTTCCCCGGGAATAAACCGAAAATTCGTTTTTGTTTCTTCACTTCTTTTCAGTCGCTTCCATTTTCCCCCAAAGTCCTCACCTTTGACGGAAGCAAAAGGCTTTTCGATTTCCCAGTTATGGCCTGCACCGTCGCAATTGCTCTGATAATCGTCACCACAACGTTGACCGTGACCCGTCTGCTCTACGTTTTGCACCGAACCGGCAAACCCCTCAAACCCCGAAGCTCGAAAGGCTCGGCTCCACAGCAACCCCTCAGCACCCTCGTCGTTTTAGGCTCAGGGGGTCACACTGCAGAGATGATCAACCTCTTGTCCGTGCTGCAAAAGGACAGATTTGCCCCCAGGTTCTACATTGCTGCTGCCACTGACAACATGAGCCTCCAGAAAGCTCGCCTGCTCGAAGAGACTTCAAGCTCACAGTTCATGCAGATCTACCGAAGTAGGGAAGTGGGTCAGTCTTATATCACCTCTGTTTGGACTACTTTGATTGCTTTGTCTCATGGGTTTTGGCTTATGCTCAGAATCAGACCCCAAGTGGTAATTTTGGTGTTTTCTTCCTTTTTTTCCTATTCATTTCTATTGATATGTGACTTTGGAAATTTTGAAATCAAATCATTCATGATCAACAATTTTTTAATTGCAGATTCTATGCAACGGCCCTGGGACTTGTGTTCCACTTTGTGTAATTGCTTTCTTGTTTAAGGTCTGGATGCAATTCTTTTAGACCCTTTTGTGTTTTTTTTTTTCTCTTTTCTTTCTTGGGTGATTGATCGCCCTTTTAATACTGTGATATGATAAATTTGGAAACTTTTTGATTCATGAGGTGATATTGGAATAATGCAGATTGTGGGGATTAGATGGTCATCTGTGTTTTATGTTGAGAGCATAGCAAGAGTGCAAAGGCTCTCCTTAAGTGGCTTGCTGCTTTACAAGTTACACATTGCGGATCAGTTCTTTGTGCAATGGCCCCAGCTACAGAGGAAGTATCCTCGAGCTCACTATGTCGGTTGCCTCATGTAGTTGGTTCAGTTCTGCTCCTGGCATGGGTACTCTCACTTTAACAGTTAACCTCCAAGTTTTTGCAATGTAATGTGCATTTCTCAAGTTTCAACTTCTACACTTTATTTTTGTTCTTGCACCTATAGTTGCCAACATGTTATACTTCTTGAGTGAGGAAAAGTGTGCTCTGATCCCACCAATGAGGATTGGATCAGACAATTCGGAACTATTCAACTGATGTAAAGTTCATTGCTTAATCTATGTGAATACTTTTTGGGGAATGTCAGATTTCAAAACTTATGCACAACTAGCTTCAACTTTGATATTAAGATTAATAATTTAACTGTGATGGCATTGTCATTTGTTAAAGCTAGGCATTACGTCTTTACCTTTTAGGTTCTGTGGTCTTTCTCCTTTTGGGTTAACACTTCCATAATATTTGGCACTGGTAATCTTTTAAAATGTTGACCTTTTATGCTGTACTAACATACTGAAGCCATAGTTCTAATGCGTAAATCCAGCATGTGGGGCTTAGCAGGGGAAAAAGAACAGAGCAGTAATCAGTCAGTTTTGGCCAAGTTTGCACATTTGGATTGATATAATTGTAACAAAAGCCTTGGATTAATTACATCTGATTTAGTTCTCTGACATTTAAGTATGAAAGAAAAAAGTGGGTAACTACTGTAGGACAAAAGAAAAACTGCAACTGTAGTCAATCTTAAATAATTCCTGGAAGTTGATGAACACAAGTTCGGATTACGTCACAGCCTCACAGGGAAAGAAGATGGCTAGAACTTTTATGGATTGATGATGCAATAAAAAGGTCTAAGTGAAATGTTGCCGTCTTGTAATAAAACCAGGGGATTAGAAGAATCAGCAGTGTTTGTGCTCATAAGATGTTTCTCTCATTTGTTAATGGATCTTCAGTTGTCCGTCTTACTAATCACTCAAAAGTTGTCCTCTTTCAGTAAAGGAATCATTGAAATTTCTTTTACATGTTTAGTTTCAGCCTTGGACTCTAAATCATCGAGATAGTGCTGATAGAGATATGAAGCGAAGCCCCAGAGGGCCAATACCATGGCAATCACCTTTGTTCCGTCCATATTTTCCTTGAAGAAGATTACAGCTAGAACTGGAACAAAGGGCAAGCCAGAAGCTCTTATAACATTGGAGAATAAGGAAGACACCTCAAAAATCAGTCCTATTGCGCCAATGTTGAAAGTTTGCCATGCCGTTGCTGTACAAATCAAAGTCAGCAAATAGGATGACCTGCCCAGCTCAAACTCCTCCATCTCTCTCTTTAAACCCTGCCATTCTTCACTGATGAAAAGTCCCACTAGGGTAGAACAGGTTGCTACGAGCGACTCATAGATTTTCATTTCTAAGACAGTTACAAATGTTTGCGATTTTAGAACCTTTTCGAAGGAGAACTGTGTGAGCGAAAACATCAAACCATACCAAGCAGATGCACCAACTGTGCAAATGACTCCGACAGTATACTTCTCTTTGGAGATTCCAGTGAGGTTTACCGAGTTGGGGTGAAACACAAGCAAGGTGGAGGAGATGGTGAGAATGACTAAAGAGTTGACTATACAAGGGGTGAACTTCTGTGCATTAAGGCAGAAGGAGAAGAAAGCATTGAAGGCCAACTGGGATGCACAAATCAGCGAAAAGGTAGAAACTGGAAGGTACAATAGACCTATAGAATACAGAAAGCTGTCTGCTGCTAGTAACACACAAAAAGAAAGATACATGAATGCAAGTGCCAAGGCATCCGGCTGGTTCACATTGCGGTCAAGGGCAATCTTTTTGGATGATAAGATGCAGTGGTAAGGGATTAGGATTGGGAACCCTATGAATTGCACCAGGGTTGCCATCCATAAGTTTTTTCCACCTTTGTTATAGTACAGTCGTCCCAAGAGTACAGCTGCTGATTGGCCAGAGAGGACAAAGAGTGCATAGATGGCCATACGAACCCACCATGTAAAATCTTTGAGCTGAGATATTGTTGCTTGGTGGGTGATTTTCTCAAACTCCAGTGCATTAACTTCTTCACCTCCTTTAACTGTTATGAAACATATATTTGAATTACGATGGGGACAGCTTCATCTATGAGTTAGTTCATCAATAAATTCACCATTTCCTTAAATAGCAGATGAAATAAAATATGTAGTGTGTTTTTTCTTCATTTATTTTCAATCTAATGGGCTGTCTACAGGTTTCTATTACATTCACTCCAACATACGGTAAGAAGAGTACAATTCTATAGTCTTATTGAGTTCATAAATTAAAAGGAAAAAAGAACCATGAAAATGCTTTTCCGAATTTATTTAGAGAAGCAACAAACAAATCAGAAAATCTTTGTGCAAATAGAAATCTGGCTTACCTATGATGTGGGGTTGCAGATCTTGAGCCTTTCCCATTTCAGAGGTGAAGAATCTTAAAAGTTATACAGCAGAGAGAGAGAGAGAGAGAGAGAGAAGAAGAAGAAGAAGAAGAGCTCTTATGCAATATGAACGGCCAGCAAATTTTGCAGGTGATAGGTGTCCAGTTTCAGTGATTTGAGGCCTTGGTCCACAATTAACACGTTACTGCACCATCTTCAACATATTTGGGAAAGCGTATGGCCTGCATCATAATCATTATTCTTTATATGGCCAGACTGGTACGATTTAAAACATGTTTCAGGCACTTGGAAAGAACATTCAATTAGAAAATGATGTTTTCTTTAGTCAGAATAAGGGCATCTATATGTCACAAACCAGTCAACATATAATTAAGAACGACCTGTAGTTAACTAAGGGGAAAGCTTGTAATTCTTCTTTTGCATAAAACTAGACTTAGATTGATGATATACAGAAGCCAATCTATTCAACCATTAATTTTTTCCAGTGATGAAGCTTCAGGAACTTCACCATTGACATTTTTGTTCTCATTCTTGGACTTACGATCATCAAGGTAGTGCTGATAAGCATAAGAAATAAAGCCCCAAATGGCCAAAACCATGGCCATTGCCTTAATTCCATCCATTTTGTCGTGGAAGAAGATCACAGCTAGAACTGGAACAACAGGCAAACCCATAGCACTTATGGCATTGGAGAAGAGGGAAGAGGCCTCCAAAATCAAGCCTATTGCGCCAATACCAAAAAGCTGCCATGTTATAGCTGTCCATACCAAATTCATAACATAGGATACCGTCCCTAGTTTGTACATCCCCATCTCTTTCTTCAAACCCTTCCACTCTCCGCTAGCGAAAAGCCCGACCAAGATGACACAGGTTGCAACTAGAGCTTGATACACTATCATATCCATGACCACTCTAAATGTCTCCTTTCTTATAACCCTTTTGAAGGCAAGTTGTGTTAGGGAAAGCACCAATCCATATCCGGCTGATGCCCCAACAGTGCATATGAACCCGATCGCATACTTTGTTTTCGATCCTCCACTAGGGTCATCCGCAGAGTCACCTTGAAACACGAGGAGGGTGGAGGAGATGGTGAGGAGAACTAGAGAATTGACAATATAGGGAGTGAACTTTTGTGAGTTGAGGAGGAAGGAGAAAAGCGCATTGAAGGCCAGTTGGGATGCACAAATGAGGGAATAAGTAGACACAGGAAGGTAAGCTAGGCCTACAGAATACAAGTAGCAGTCCAGTGCTAATAAGAGGCCAATAGAGCCATATACTGATGCAAGGATTAAGGTGGACGGTTGTTTGAATTGGATAGTACTATTTTTTGTGATTGGATTTCTGCTTGCTGCTGGGATGCAATAGTAAGGAAGCAGGACAGGAAAGCCACAAAGTTGTACCACTGTTGCCAGCCATTTGCTGTCACCGCCTTTATCGAAGTACAATCTTCCCAAGAGTGTTGCAACTGACTGGCCAGCGATGACAAGGAATGCATAAATGGCCACTTTAAGCCACCAGTTGAAACTTCTGCGCTGAGGAAGCAGTGACCGGTCGGGAGCATTTGTATGCCCTGGTGAGCTTGCTTCATTTGCTTCCTGAGCTATAAGAACAGATGTTATAAGAAACTTATGCGTTAATCTTTGAAATTGAGTCATTTTACTGAAGTGGTGCTTTATTTGTAACTTCAGTGTTGCAGTGCCCAGAGAGTTTTAGATGTTTTTGAACATCAAATTCTGTCACAAAGTTTCTCACTTGCTGTACTATGATTATGATAATAAATAAATAAAAGTTGGGATTTTTCAGAATTCTCCCTCCAAACCCCCCTCTTGTAATTTTTAATTTATGACTCATAACTCACAAGAACAGAATTCACTTCTGAGCATCAACCAGTAGATTGACTTAAGCATATATTAGGTTCTAACTTGCTATTCTCTGATAAGATCACATAGAAGTAAACTTACTGCACTAAAAAAAAAATTGACCAAAGCCTGTGAGTAAATGAATTTGACATACCCATGATGCTGAGCTGCAGTTCTTGTGCTTCTCCCATATCAAAAAATCAAGAGAGAGAGAGAGAGAGAGGTCTTGCTTCAATTCACATGAAAATATTATTGGATTAATCTACATGTAACATGTTGACTGGTGTTAACCAACCAGCATGGGATTGAAGAAACAAATAGACATGCATGCAATTTTACAGTAGATATAGATATGGATATTTCCAATTCAAAGTTCTAATAGACCTTGCCACTTGCCGTTCTATTATTGCTTGCTTTATATATTGTGTTCTTCAAAAACTGCAAGTTGCAACAATAATATCATATCATGAATAAGACAGGCTAAATTTTGATCACTTCTCTTTGTTTGATATGCAACTCGACCTCTTCTCGGGCGGCTGACGACTTAGAGATCATTGAAGAAGAAGATGGCCACCCACGCCTCATTTTCTGGGCCCCACGAGTTATTTGTTCATCAATACATTTATATACGTGGTACAGCAGAGGCCAACTCTGCATGGCCCATTGTGGAAGCAAAATATCTCACCCTATAGGTCAAATTATTAGACCAATCAATTTGGGAATTATTTAACCTAATTGGACGTTATCTAACTTAATTGGGAATTACCTAATTTAATTGGGAGTTACTTGAATTAATTAGGAGGTTACATAATTCAAATTGGATGTATTTGATCATCACCTTAATTAGGAATTTGGTTAAATCCCTAATCCCTAAATACACCAACCTCACCAACCTCACCAACTACATCAACCCCTCCAACCTCCTCGAGGCCCCTTATAAATACTTGGCTACGCACAAGGATTGAGGTATATCTGAATTCCTACTAAAACTCTACATAAGTTATCCCTCACAAACCCTAGCCACCATTTTCTTTCTCTCTCTCACACAAGACTCCGGCCATCACACACGCCTCCGGCCACCCGGTTTTCCTTGAAACACCCTACCTAACTTAGGCATCGGAGGGTCTTTGGCCAACACCCCCTAGGTGTGGTCCTTTTACTCCAATTTGTTTTGCATGGAGAAAGAGAAGCGAAGAAGATGAAGGAATCTTAGGCAAATATTCTAGTGGGACGAAAATTGCTGCAACAAATTGGTGCTTTCATTGAGAGCACGAAATAATACTCAAAGCGTGCTCCAAATCCATTTTCAACACTTTTTTTTCAAACAACCATGGTTGATACAAGACGTACGAAGAGTAACGCCACCACGACGGGCTCGTCTCATGGTTTCGTGGTGGAAACCTCAATGTAACCACACGGAATAGTGGCTACCAACACCTTGCAGCCGTCTCCTAGTGCTTTGCAGCCACCTTCAGCTGCTGAAATTGTAGAACAGCTGTCGCAGATAGCTGCTGGAACTGCAGAACAGCCGTCACATGGCCTCGTGATCTCCACAGCCTTGCAACCGTAAGTGCTGATTGCCTGAGCTGTTCTGCCGCGCCATCCTGCCAGAGCTGCTCTGCCTCGCTATCCTGTCGTCGGAGCATAGCAGCAGCCACACCACTCAGCTGCCGGGCTGACGACTTAGAGATCATTGAAGAAGAAGATGGCCACCCACGCCTCATTTTCTGGGCCCCACGAGTTATTTGTTCATCAATACATTTATATACGTGGTACAGCAGAGGCCAACTCTGCATGGCCCATTGTGGAAGCAAAATATCTCACCCTATAGGTCAAATTATTAGACCAATCAATTTGGGAATTATTTAACCTAATTGGACGTTATCTAACTTAATTGGGAATTACCTAATTTAATTGGGAGTTACTTGAATTAATTAGGAGGTTACATAATTCAAATTGGATGTATTTGATCATCACCTTAATTAGGAATTTGGTTAAATCCCTAATCCCTAAATACACCAACCTCACCAACCTCACCAACTACATCAACCCCTCCAACCTCCTCGAGGCCCCTTATAAATACTTGGCTACGCACAAGGATTGAGGTATATCTGAATTCCTACTAAAACTCTACATAAGTTATCCCTCACAAACCCTAGCCACCATTTTCTTTCTCTCTCTCACACAAGACTCCGGCCATCACACACGACTCCGGCCACCCGGTTTTCCTTGAAACACCCTACCTAACTTAGGCATCGGAGGGTCTTTGGCCAACACCCCCTAGGTGTGGTCCTTTTACTCCAATTTGTTTTGCATGGAGAAAGAGAAGCGAAGAAGATGAAGGAATCTTAGGCAAATATTCTAGTGGGACGAAAATTGCTGCAACAAATTGGTGCTTTCATTGAGAGCACGAAATAATACTCAAAGCGTGCTCCAAATCCATTTTCAACACTTTTTTTTCAAACAACCATGGTTGATACAAGACGTACGAAGAGTAACGCCACCACGACGGGCTCGTCTCATGGTTTCGTGGTGGAAACCTCAATGTAACCACACGGAATAGTGGCTACCAACACCTTGCAGCCGTCTCCTAGTGCTTTGCAGCCACCTTCAGCTGCTGAAATTGTAGAACAGCTGTCGCAGATAGCTGCTGGAACTGCAGAACAGCCGTCACATGGCCTCGTGATCTCCACAGCCTTGCAACCGTAAGTGCTGATTGCCTGAGCTGTTCTGCCGCGCCATCCTGCCAGAGCTGCTCTGCCTCGCTATCCTGTCGTCGGAGCATAGCAGCAGCCACACCACTCAGCTGCCGCGACTGCTACACAGCCCCCGGGAAGAAGAAGATGGCCACCCACGCCTCATTTTCTGGGCCCCACGAGTTATTTGTTCATCAATACATTTATATACGTGGTACAGCAGAGGCCAACTCTGCATGGCCCATTGTGGAAGCAAAATATCTCACCCTATAGGTCAAATTATTAGACCAATCAATTTGGGAATTATTTAACCTAATTGGACGTTATCTAACTTAATTGGGAATTACCTAATTTAATTGGGAGTTACTTGAATTAATTAGGAGGTTACATAATTCAAATTGGATGTATTTGATCATCACCTTAATTAGGAATTTGGTTAAATCCCTAATCCCTAAATACACCAACCTCACCAACCTCACCAACTACATCAACCCCTCCAACCTCCTCGAGGCCCCTTATAAATACTTGGCTACGCACAAGGATTGAGGTATATCTGAATTCCTACTAAAACTCTACATAAGTTATCCCTCACAAACCCTAGCCACCATTTTCTTTCTCTCTCTCACACAAGACTCCGGCCATCACACACGACTCCGGCCACCCGGTTTTCCTTGAAACACCCTACCTAACTTAGGCATCGGAGGGTCTTTGGCCAACACCCCCTAGGTGTGGTCCTTTTACTCCAATTTGTTTTGCATGGAGAAAGAGAAGCGAAGAAGATGAAGGAATCTTAGGCAAATATTCTAGTGGGACGAAAATTGCTGCAACAAATTGGTGCTTTCATTGAGAGCACGAAATAATACTCAAAGCGTGCTCCAAATCCATTTTCAACACTTTTTTTTCAAACAACCATGGTTGATACAAGACGTACGAAGAGTAACGCCACCACGACGGGCTCGTCTCATGGTTTCGTGGTGGAAACCTCAATGTAACCACACGGAATAGTGGCTACCAACACCTTGCAGCCGTCTCCTAGTGCTTTGCAGCCACCTTCAGCTGCTGAAATTGTAGAACAGCTGTCGCAGATAGCTGCTGGAACTGCAGAACAGCCGTCACATGGCCTCGTGATCTCCACAGCCTTGCAACCGTAAGTGCTGATTGCCTGAGCTGTTCTGCCGCGCCATCCTGCCAGAGCTGCTCTGCCTCGCTATCCTGTCGTCGGAGCATAGCAGCAGCCACACCACTCAGCTGCCGAGACTGCTGCACAGCCCCATGGCTACTTCGACGTCGTCCCAGTCTTGGAGCAGATCCATTCTCTCCATCATCTACAACCACACTTGATGTATGCATCTGTGTACGCGTCTAATGGAGCCCTAGCCCAAAAGTCATTGGGCCCGATGCACACCACTCTACTTGACCCGCGCGGTCAGTGGACCTTAACTCATGGGTTGATCAACTTACACAGAGGGTTGACGATCAAAACAACCTGATTGGCCAGTAACACAGGCATATCAACTTGAATCAATGCCCTAACCTTGGACCCCGTGACGAGGAGAGAAGGGCGCACGAGCATGCCTACGAGCAGTTGAAAGGTCCCAAGCTGGTCAGACATGGCAAATAGGCATGGGAGAATACGATATCGTGCGGACAAGACACAAACATCTGCAAGTCGTACTTTGAGCTATTAGGGGCTAGGTTCAAGAACCAATGTGCACGAGAGGCTGGGCACATAGTCTGATGTCTGCTCTCGCTTGGGCCCACGAAGAAGTACCCAATCCAGGTTGGAACCATAAGAAGTTCGAGTTCGTGAGCAATCACGTGGCTAGCACAACGATCGACGCCTACCAGCCCGCTCAAGGACCAACACACGGTGGCAAGTCGTAGAGGAATCCTCACAAGCTCAATCTCCTAATCTGCCCCACGAGTTGGGCAAACAAGGGGATCGACCCTTAGAAGCTAGGGAAGAAGTTAGCTAACCGCGCTCGAGACACAGAAGGCATCGACCCGAGCAACCAACCTCGCAGGCAGAATATGTCAATCAACGTCTACCATCAAAGACCAACACGTGGCGGTAAGCTGTAGACATAATCTGCCTCATGGGCAGGGCAACCAAGAGGATCGATCCTTGGGAACGAAGGAAGAAGTTAGCCAGCCACACTCGAGGCACCGAGGACGTCGACCCGAGCTACCAGCCCTGCGAGCAGAAGATGTCGATGAGCTAGTAAATGACCGACTCCAAAGTCTCCAACTTAAAGGAAGCACGGAGGAGGCCCTGCGCAAGGAAATTGATCAAGTCGACTGCTCACCCTTTACCGACGAGGTGGAACGAGCTCCACGGCTAAAACGATTTACAACGTCATCCATCACTCCATTCAAGGGGGACTCTGACCCTAAGAGCCATTTGATGCACTTCAAGAACGTCATGATCTTGTACAAGGTAGACGACGCCTTGATGTGCAAAGTGTTTGCGATGACTCTTCGAGAAGCAGCTCTAGACTGGTTCCGCACTCTACCGTTCGCGTCGATAGGCAACTTCAAGGAGTTAGCCCTCATATTCACAAATGAGTACACCTTATACAGGACAATCAAAAAGCATGCAAACCACCTGTTCAACCTGCGCAATAAGTCAGACAAGTTTCTTCGAGACTACCTCAGATGATTTAAGGCTAAGAAGGCGAACATCATAGAATGCAATGACCAAGTTGCATCCTCAGCTTTCAAGAATGGCTTACAAACCGAGCACGAGCTATACCGGGAACTGGCCATAACTCCAAGCCAAACCTTGGTAGAAGTCTTCCAACGGCAGAGTGCTATGCATTTTGGAACAAGGATCATATCTCCACGAAGAAAGCCAGCAAGCAAGTTGATCATCCGACAAAGCAAGCAAGCCAAAAGAGCAATAAGTTTGAGCACAAAGCCCGGGAAAAGCACAGATCATGGCCCCAAGAGGGAGGCACGGAAACAGGAAACTTCATTGAGTTCATTATCCCGATCCACCAGATCCTGGCACAGGTGAAGGACAAGCCGTGGGGGAGAAGACTGTCACCCCTAATGGGAGACCCCTCTAGGAGGAACACCAGTAACCCTTTTGAAGGCAAGTTGTGTTAGGGAAAGCACCAATCCATATCCGGCTGATGCCCCAAC